TGAATTGTGTGTTCATTTTGACAGATTTACAAAGAGTTCTCTTGGTCCTTTTGCCTCAAGGTGTTGTTCTGTTTGTACTCTCTTTACACCCTGTCGGCCGTTAGCGGGAGTGAAATCCAATATCAACGTACTGTGTGTGGATCAGTCCAGTTTAAACTCAAACACAAGAACCATCAGTTCTCCAGCTGCTGCCCCAGTGCAGACGTCCAGCCCTGAACACGTCCAGAGAGAGACTGAGAAAGAGAAAAGGATTAGTTGTATAGACTGTGCCGTGGCGTGACAACCCTCTTGACGCCAACCTGTCTGCCTAGATGTGAAGAGGAAAGAGTAAGAGAGAAAGAATGGAGTAAGGGGTGAGAATAGAGGTGTGGAAAAGGAGTTGAAGAGGGCACGAGGAAAAGACACAGCTGTTGAAACTCATCTCACACTCACAATGAACAGATGAGAGAAAGAGAGAGAGGGAGAGTACAGACATAGTCTCACAGATGGAAGTGGATTTCTTCATGATTAACATTTTACTGAGAAATTTAAAGAGAAATATTTGTTCAAGACAAAATAACATTTCCCTAGTTCACAACCAGATTCAAATTTAAATGTACTTGCGTTGCCAGATTGTGACTAATATCTGGTCCATATTGCAACTTTATCTGGCCAAGAACCGCCCACTTACTTAGGAAGTGACTGTCTGACCATTTCATGTGACCAAACCAAGATTTTACATTTTTTTTTCGGTGTTTTTGGGTAAGTAAATCTGAAATGTATAGAAGCTTGAAAGATAATTACAGATTATATGAAAAAGTAATATCCCACAATATTACCTTTTTCCTTACAATTATGACTTTGTTCATCATATCTGTGTATTTATATCTCATATCTGCAATTTTATAGGCCTATCTCACAATGTGACTTCAGTTATTATGTTAATTTATATCTCACAGTTACGTTTTTCAATACATTACCATTCAAAAGTTTGGTATCAGTAAACATTTTTTTCAGCAAGGAAATATTAATAATGTTACAATTATTTAAAAAAAAAAACTGTTTTCAACATTAATAATAATATGAAATGTTTCTTGAGCAATAAATCAGCATATTCGGAATGATTTCTGATTTCGGTGACCCTGAAGATAAAATTGATTTTAAATTGTATTAATACTTCACAATATTATCGTTTTTACTGTGTTTTGATAAATTAAATATAGCTTTAGTCAGCATAAAAACAAATAATATCTCTCAAAACATAAAATCTTACTCACCCCAGACTTTTGAATGATATATTTATCATTATATAGTGTATATATTTTTAACCTTTAGGAAACTGGTCCCAAGGAAATGTGATATAACACCGAGAACAAAACAGAATGCACAAGTCTGGAGGAGTGTCCAACAAAACTTATTCAAAGATTGGATGCCATGAACCTTGTAAACTGGCAAATCCAGCCACTAATTATTGCTCAGAAATGCTCTTTGTCGCAGCCTGGGAACTTGTAAACACAACTTTGGTTCCTGGCAGATTGATAACAATCTATGTGCTTTGATTCCCAGAAATCGCATAAACCAGATTGTAATTTTTTTTTCTGAAAGCTCTTGCCATTTTCTCAGTGTTCTCAGAGGGTTAATAAGCAGTCCATAGATGTGCCGTCTGAGGCTGAGACAAAGTTTTTACAGAAAAATCTTAATCACTGATACAGAAATAGGTGTGTTTGTTTTTTAGTTGTTGTTTGTTTTTCTCAGTTATTTTTTAAAGGGGTGGTTGACTGTTTTTTTATAGGCTTGATTGTGTTTATGGGGTGCAGTCTAACGTGTTAATGCTTAGTTTGTTAAAAAAACGCATTATTTTTCACATAATTTACCTTTATTCCACACGGCTCTGCCCCTTCTCCTCTGAATGTGCTGATCATTTCCTGCTTTTATGAAGCCCCTCCCTCAGAAATACATGATGGGCTCTGATTGATTAGCTGGCCCAGTGTGTTGTAATTTGGCTAAACCGCCTCTAGCGTGCGTCTAATCGTGCCGCCCCTCAACATAGCGGCATGTGCTCCGGTTGTATTGTAAACAATGACGTCGTCTATATTGCTTATCAATTTGAGCCCGATTGAGACGCAGAGGATATTAGTGAAGAGGATCGCGCAGAACCTGTGCAAGCATGGCTTTTAATGGTAGGCCTAAGATTTTTGTTTATTGTTGTCTCATACTTTTAGATATGCTGTTATTTGTAAATGCTACTGCTTCTGTTAGCTTTTAATATACGGTTTTATTCTGATTAAAGCTTTAATACAGTTCGGCAACCGCACGCGCGTCTATGTATAACGCTTCTCATAGCTATAGTATGTGAAAATAAGTGTATTCACTGGTCTGATGATCTGAATGAGAGAGAGAATCGCAATCAACCACCCCTTTAAGGCAGTCTCTATCCGGGGGGTTATGGGTATGATTTTGGTTTCTGAAAGATGCTGAGTCCTCCTTCCTGCTTGAACTTCTCGCTACCCCTGAACTCTGTAGAATCGAAGCCTGGACTCCACATGATTCCAAACAGAAGCATATCTTTGCAGTTCATGCACAGATGGCAAATGAAGCTGTCCTACCTCTTCAAAGCATTCTCCATATACCTCTTTTCTTTAAAAGCCTCTGGTGAGGATTTTTTTTTCTGCTCAGACTCTCATTCTAACCCCCTACTTTCTCCTGCTCTGGTGAAAATAGATTGACAAAGATGCTGAGTGAGAGGGAGAGAAAGCGAAGGATGCCTGAAGGCAGGATTAACGGACAGAGTTGATTTTATTTTCCTTTGTTTGAGAGTCGGACTGATGTGTATGTGAAGCAGTGCCTGCAGTGTGATTGGCAGCTTTCTCTGGTTTGGCCCATGAGCCAAGCCACTTGAGCATGTTAGTACAGAATATATGCGGCATATGGGATACAACATTACACATCCACAGCAGACAATTGGTCACACCTTGGAAATGAGGGTCTGGGGTCCAGACAACATAGGGTGGTCTGTAGTATCTATTTTCAGATCCAAATGGACAATATACGACTTGACTAGTCAACAGGTGGGCCACATGAAGTCTTAAAGGGATAGTTCACCCAAAAATGAAATTTCTGTCATCATTTACATTTGCCATCATTTCATCAGCTGGAAGAAAATCGCTCTGAAAGTGATTCCAATTATATTGTTTCTCTGTGCCTTTATCATTGTAGCTGTGGTGTGAACCTGCTATTCTTTAATATTGAGAACGATTTTTAGAACTATCTTTATCTTTATCGTTATCTTTATAGTTATACTTGGGGCCAGATTTACTAAACAGGGCAAATTAGCGCGAGAGCGCGCAATTCCAAAAGAGCACCGATGGGCGTGGAAATTTCTTCGGGTGATTTACAGACAACATGCAAATTAAAGAACACAGACGCAACATCTCAATAACATATCGACCAACGCAATATACCAAGCACAGCGCAAATTAGCGTAGTCGCAAATAAGCAGAACTGATGCTCAACAGGTGCGGGTGATCTACTTACGACACAGGCGCAAAATAGTTTAAGACATGCTTTTTTTGGGTGTTAAATAATGGCGCAAATACCAGTAATTTGACATGCGCAAACGTTAGTAAATTGTGTTACGTGATTCATATACTCTCCTCCCATACAAATGCATATTCAGTTAGGTCAGGCGCTAAAATAACTGTGTCCACGCCTTTTCAGCGCTAATTCTTCACTGTGCGTCTTTAGTAAATCCTGACAGTACTATTTTAACGCCAAAAGACGGTTTGCTCTGGTGCAAGCTGTTAGTAAATCTGGCCATAACTATGACTTTTGCCTCAAACTCTTAATTTGCTGCTTATTAATAGTTAGTAAGGTAGTCGTTACGTTTAAATATTCAGTAGGATTAGGGATGTAGAATATGGTCATGCAGAATATGTGATTTATAAGTACTAATAAACAGCAAATATGTTAATAATATGCATGCTAATAAGCAACTAGATAACAGTGAGAACTGGTCCCTATACAAAAGTTTTACCCAGTTACCTGCATATTCGACAGTACTATTTTAATGCCAAAAGATGGTTTGCGCCCTTGGTGTGAACAGGCCTTAAGTGTGGATCAATAAAACTGCCATTTTGTAACTGATAAAGGATTTGATTTTAGCTAAGAATCTAATTATAAAAGACAAAAATATTATGTTATTGCAATCAGATTTTATAGGTTTCACATTCACAGCTTTTCCCATTCAAGTTGACAGAAGCTGCACTAGGAATAACTAAGGTGGCCACCGAGCTGCTTAAAAAGGCCTGTTTGTGTACAGATGAGCATATTAACACACCACAAGACCTTTGTACTAATATTTTATTGACTGGCTGTGCGTTTTGAGACCTGTATGAGGAAGTTGTGTAGGGAGAACATGGAAACGATCCACAAGTCTGGCAGATGAAGACATATAGTTACACAGACTTTAGACAGACAACACACACTCACACATGCTAGAAGAGAGAGACTTCCTACTTACCTGCTCTCTTTCCATCTGTCATCCTTTCCTTGAGCAGGAAGGAGAGACAGAGAGGTGCATGTGTGTGTGTTTAGACTTCTGGTGTAATTGGGCCTGTGACCTCAGAAGGAAGCTTGTTTGATAGGTAACGGGTGAGCTTGTGTGTATGTGTGATGCTGGAGGAGTGTGAACATATTGATTTGTGTGTGTGTGTGTGTGTGTGTGTGTGTGTGTGCGTGCTGTAGCTTACCCAGTGATTGATGGGTTTCTCTAATGTCAGGTCAGAGAGCGGCAGAGATATGCACAAGAACATCCGGTAAACACACACATTCCTCCTCCTGATGAATTATTCGAGATTTGTTCACACACTCCTGCTGAATATCTTTAACAGTCATTAGATCTGCGAGTATGTGTGTGTGTGTGTGTGTGTGTGTGTGTGTCTTCCACACTTTATTAGGGCTTTTAAACTTTTAAACATCACAAAGTGTGCTAATGTGATGCAATGTGTTTGTGTTGTGTGCAGAAAACTCAGGTGACGGTATTGACTACAGCCAGCAGAAGAGGGAGAACATCGGAGACCTGATTCAGGAGACGCTGGAGGTGTTTGAACGCTACGGGGGCGAGGACGCCTTCATCAACATCAAATACATGGTGCCCACCTACGAGTCCTGCCTTCTCAACTAAATGGAATGGAGAACTCACTCACAAACACACAAACACAGTCTTATACAAACATGTAAACACACCCACCTTATGTTACAAACCTAATTTTGGACTTTATTAAAGTCATAATGCAGATGTTATGAGTCTGTGCACAACGGCTGTCTGTATTAGAGAAGACACACACACACACAGCTTCCTGTGAATATAAACAGACACAGGTAGCTCAGGGGCCAATAAATCTCTCGACTGCAACTAACCTGCATTTCATTTTCATTCTGTAAGGAATTATCAAAAGAGAAAGGCAGAAAATGCGCACATATCCAATACAAGCTGGCCGCAGGTACAGAAAACAATATTTTGAATGTAACAAAATTGAATGGTTATTTTTTTTTTTTTTACATCATGATGATCTAGATTTTGAAGCATTAATATCAGAGTGAGAATTCATATATCTATGTTTTGAGCGTTTATATATATATACTGTATATATATATATATATCTCTCATCACATAATTTCGACCACATATAAAACTTTTACTTGTGTCCAAAAGCTTCAACTTGCAACACAATTTTCTTCCAATCACACAGATAATTTTCAGAAGGTCACTGATGTAGCTCTCTTTCCTGATATAATGAATATGTTCTTGCTTTTTCTTTTTCTCAGTGGTTTCTGAAAAAAAAAAAAAGAAATATTGAGACTCCCCTCTGGCTGTTCACTCACCTTCCAGCATTCACCACCTGAAATCTCTCTTCTTTTTACTTGTTTTTTTCCTTTTATCTCTTCTACCAGGGGTGTAGCACCTATTGTAACTGAGAATAAATTTGCTCCCATTATAACAATAATGCATATTTCCTCTTTGGCTGGAGTTCACGTACCAACGTTCATCTTTCAGCAAATCAGAGTGATCATCACTTAATTAATATTCATAAGCCATGGTTTGTATGCTGAGCCTCTGACAGAAAGTAAACCAATTTATATGAGAACCTCTGAAGAGAAGAAAAGTCATGTTTGCCAAAAATATGCAGTTTTATATTCATTTACATTTAAATTTAAATTTAGTCATTTAGCAGACGCTTTTATCCAAAGCGACTTACAAATGAGGACAATAAAAGCAGTCAAAACTAACAAAAGAGCAACAATATATAAGTGCAAATGACAAGTCTCGGTTACAGCCAACAATACTTTCTGTATAATTAATAAACCTTATTGGCAAACACTAGTGACTGACATTAGTAGGAAGTTTAGTTATTATGCTTTCAAAATATCTATCTCATATGAGTGTATCCGTGGCAACTAGGCATTTTATAGGCTTTGAGATTTTTAATATGCCTTCCCACTTTTCAGATGATTTCAACACCCCTGCCTCCTGCTTTCTTTATCTCCTTCTCGCTTTCTTTATCTCTGTCTATTCAGGTCAGCTCTTTGTTGGATATTTCTATTTTATATTTAAATGTTTTAAGTCGTTTTTTCGGCAGTGGTGAAACAAACCTACCAAAAGCTAACATAGATGAACTGAAAGTCTCTGGTCTTAGCTCTAAAGGTGATGATTCCTAAGGAAACACACATACATATACACACATATCTACACTCACACTGGAAGGGACCTGAAGGGACATAGAGAGTGCACAAAATAACACATGACAGATAGCAAGTATTTAGATAGCAACATTATGTGCTTTTGAAAGCCATGAACCTGTATGAGCTGCAGGCTGTGCAAACACAATGTCTGAATGAAACGCTCATTTATCAGAGCGCATACACACGCACACACTCAGTCGGGGGCTTCCCTCATGCTTAACAGCCTCTATCTTTTCCTACCTGTGAAATCAGACGCCTCGAGTATGTGTTGGTTTATTTATTTCACTGAATAGTGATTTTTATGGCATATAATGTCCTCTGAGTCTTTTCACTTAATGCTTTTATAATCAGATTAAGCAGCCATCTGTAGATCTCCTTCTTTCTGGGATTATTAGAAGGGCTCTGAGCTGTTCTTTGGACACCAGGCCCCCATAATCACCCCATATATATTACTTTCGGACGCTAGTGGATCATGCCGTCATAAGAACATACCGTAACATGAAGGATGTGCAGTGTTTTGCCAAAGTATTTCCTTTAGCAGCTGCTGGGGGAAAAAATCAGTGTTGGTGTGTTTTTAAAAGTGAGTCCCATGAGCCGATGTTTACAGTGAGCTGAGATCTCTGAAACATTTGAACTCAGTTCAATCTGGATTTGATCACACGCCTGTAAATTACAGCTCTGAACAGACACAAGGGGGAATTGAGGCCGGATTTGCCCTCAAATCAGTTTTACTGCAACAATCGGGGTCAATAAAGAGACCTGAAGTCCCAGCTCGAGTCCTAGAAACCGAGATGGTGAGAGGAATAGTTTCAGTCATCATTTACTCACTCTTATTCTTTCAAACCTGTAAGACTTTCTATCTTCTGTGGAACATAAAAGAAGATATTTTAAGAATGTGTGAACTCTTTTTTTGCCCCTACAATGAAAGTCAATGGGGTCCAATACAACTTTCCTTGAGCAGACAGAATACAGTGAGACATATTTGTTTTAAAGAAGAAAGGTTTGGAACAGCATGAGGGAAAATTTTTTGGATCAACTGTTCCTTTCATTTGCCTGATTTGGCTCGGATCTAATTGCCACTCAGGTGAATCGATGAATGAAATCGGTATAAAACAAGGATGGAGATGTTGATGCGAGAGCAGAGGGAAGGGAAAACATTAGAGTGTATGAATGCCAGATTGTTAGGAGCAACAGTGCAGAGGGGAGGGAGGGAAAGCGAAGGGAGCAGCAGGAATAAATAGCCCTCTGGGATCTATTCTTCTTGTTCGGCGCATCTGCCAGGGGCCGCACGAAACCCAATGCCAGCCAGTGAGCATGTGCAAAGCCCTGAGCTCAATGGAGATTTATTTCGTAGTGACTTCATGCTTCAGGTGTCCCCCGCACCTCTCAACCCCAGACTACCACTCCACAGAACGGACTGGAGCTCTGATCTTTATTCCAAAATTTGACTCAAAAACGTCATTGATTTGGACTCCTATAGGCCTCAGAGATGTGGTGAAGAAAACAAAAACATGTTACAAAATGTAACAACCCTGCCACTTTTCACCATCCAATCATTTCCCTTGTGGACCAAATCAAGTCCCGCCCTATTTTTAATCTTGCCAAATCCAGATTCTGTAATAAATACACCAGATTATTGCAGTAAAATGGGTTGTGAATGCTTTTTCAACTTGGCATCAGTGCATTTTTGCAATTCTGAACTTCCGTAACATTTTGTCTTTCTCCAAGCAGCAGAATTGAGCTGTTTCGTTGAGCAGTCTTTTCTAATATCGGACTGTTTGAAAAGTGAGTTTCTTTAAAGTGGTGCTGGTGTGTAGCGTGTGAGCGCGTGGTGTGTTTTGAAGAAGGCTCACAGGAGGCCGATGGTTTTTCGGCGGAAGACTGGAAAGATCTTCCTCTCTCTAGCTCCGGATCGACAGGGTTCTGCTGTCTGATCCTCGCTCCTCCTCTACCTCAGCCAGATGCTCTTATCAGACGCAAACACATCTGCCGTTGCTCTGCACACACACAAACAAGCACCGTCCTTATCCTTTGGACCACCATGAGAACCAATCACACACATATAAACACACATTCACCTGGAAATTTAAAATGTATTTTTAAAACCTGCATGTACAGCAGTTCTGTGCAGTCCTTTGAATTGCATTCCATTTTGATTACTTTGATTAATCACAAATATCAATTCTGCATCAAAATAAATGTTGACGTATCATGTTCTAGTGCTTTTACTTATTTATATTTTGTATAAATAAGTACTATACTGATATAATCTTTAAAAAAAGCCTCATTAAAAGGATGAAATATTATTTCATGTAATAATGCATTCAAATAATTTAAACATAATATAATGAAAACAAGCAAGCAAGCATGAATGTCCACCCCTAAACCTAGCCCTCAGTGGAGCATAAGCACGTATTAATACATTTTCAAACCAATTTGCCAAAATGTAAAATAGTTGTGAATTCCCCTGAGAGTGTTTTAAACATTATTTATGAATAAATAATATATTAAATGGTCGAGATTACACCAAATTAACTTTAAATCAAAATCGAAACAATTTACCTTGAAAAATAAATATTTTAAACCTTTTGTTAAAAATTCTTCAAGAGCTATTAAATTGAAACGTTTTTCAAAATTAAATGGAACAAACATGAATAGGAAGTCAAACCAAAAATTATTCAGACACCAGATATTATTTTTATTTTACTAGTGGGTTCAGGACACTATAGTTCATTTATGTAAGTGAGGATAGCAAAATAAAATAAAGTGTGACATACCCAAAAATTCTTCATACAGTGGACTACCAGTAAAACTGATAAAAATTTGGCACCAAAAATTATTCAGACACTTTGACCTGACCATGTTTTTCTTAAGCGTTTTAATGCAACCTTTTTACACCACAGACTGAACAAAATTAAGCATTGCTTGGTAATTGGTTGACCTAAATTGGTATTATCTAATTGTGTACTTAAATTTAGCAGCTGACATCTATTCAACCTAATTCATTACATACCTTTCTATCAAAGTTATCTGCATGACATTATCAAGATGAATTTGTTCTGACACAGTTTAACTCTGAGTTCTTGTCATATTTTATTACCAATTCCTAAACTAGAGCGAATAAACTGTGATAATGTGAGAAATGTTGAAGGTGTCTGAATAAATTTTGATTTGAGTTTTATTTTTTTATTTTTTTTTGTCTTTACCATGAACATTCTTATGTGTCATTGACTCAAGTATGTCTTGGAGAAACTGTGTGTCAGCACGTGTGGCATAAAGGCCATGGACCCCGAGTGAGTGATGAAGGACTGTGTGTTTGCTGTAATCTTCACTGCAGACCCCTGGGGAGCCATGAATGACGTGGTGGCCCACGGTGAGATTATACTGCACTGCGCTGGACTGGGTGGAGAGAACAGGATCCATCAGTGCTGTCAGCACCCCAGTTCAACAAACAACACCCAACATGTGACCGGCACATACAATAATTTGTGTATTTAACAGTCATCAGCATGTTATGTTTATACATGCTTTTACACTCACTCCCATAAATACTCAATGACACTCATGCACACACTCTGAGAATGTCCCACTCTTCGCCTCACCTTAACAATGTGTGATTCCTCTCTCTCTCTTTGTCTCACAATTGACGCAGATTTCACTCTCTGGTGTTCCTGCACCCACACATAATCACTTTTGTTTTATGCTTTTGTATTATTTTCATACTCAAAGCCTTCAAGCTTTCTTCAGACAAAATAACTCAAGAGTGTCTGTGCATTGAGGGAGCTCACGTTATATTCCAGACACAGTCATGCCACCTACTGCTTTTCTAATCAGCTGCTGGCACTGACCACGGGATCGTGACTGATGCCCTCTCTGAAGCCCCATCTCCCTCCCGTCTCTGCTCCCTGCTGCTTCACAACCACCTGATTTCATATTCACTTTTTATCTAAAGTGTCGTTAATTGGATTAATTGTAGAATGAAACCCGTGTTATTAATAGAGGAGGAAAATACAGGGTTTGGGCGGGGATTAATATCTCACACTACAAAACACACACACACACACACACACACACACAAGCAGCACACAGACACGTGTGGCCTGTCTCAGATGCGGTGCCTAGTAGAATGAAAAGATATGTGGCAGTGTTGATAAGAGCAAAGGATTCTTATCTAAGACCGAGATAAATGCTGAATCTTTTGTGCTGCCTTCAGAAATTGGTGATTTTTTCAGTCTGTTATACTAAGAAGGTGATGCAGCTGAAAAATGAGATTAAAGAAAGGATGATGAGTCATGTGAATAGGAGGATGCATGGTGAATCATATGGATATATTTGTATGGAACAAATGATGAGGTCTGTAACACTTGGATCATTCCCATATATGTAAAAATGCTACTTGCATTCAGCATTTTTGCTCATGTGCATCTGGACATTATTGGGAGCCAATCACTCTGGAACCATAAAATACATTTTTGGAAAAAAAGTCACTGGAGTGGTACCTTTTCAAAAGGTACACCCTTGTACCTTATTTACCACTAACAGGTATATTTAGGACCTAAATGCTACATATTGGCATATTGGTACCTTTTTACAGGGCTCTGTCCCAGTGACAGCTAATACCATTTGTGTGTGTATCATAACATATCTCCTCTTCTGGATTGTAAATATTTGGTATTATTGTGTGATGTCTCTAGTTGAAGGAATGTGTCCTGTGTCCTGTTATCTTCCAAGTGGATAGGATTTGGAGGAGGTCAGCTGAGCATGAAGTCCCAAGCTGATATAGCGTCTGTTCACATTTGTGTCTTCCATACTGATGAATGTGAAAATGATTTTTATCTCTCTCTCTTCAATGTGAACAGCTTCAATGTGAAACAAAGCTATTAAAAAAGTTCTCAAGGTTCATTTCATACCACATGACATTCCTACTGGATTGATACTTAGTGAAATAAAAGTAACCCTATAAAAGTAAAATAAAATAAATCCATAACTAGTGAAGAAACCATGAAGCTGTGGTGTTAAACTAGCATAAAGGTGAATGAACAATGACAAATCTTCATTTTTGAGAGAACTAATCCTTTAACTCAGTATTATTTTTTAATTAAAGAACATGCAGTTCTTGAAACTTCTGGAATCACACATTTAATCACGATTAATTAATTTAATATACCAATACTCCTAATTTATGTTAATGAAAAAAAAAAGTTTGAAATGAGCTTTGCCATAAATACAGGAGCATATTTCCCAGTCACGAAGGCTGAGAACCACTGATCTAATATTTATAGGATCGTTGTATACTGAATAACACCAACAAGATTTTTATATTTTAAAAATTGCATTTACATTCTACGGCCAGAAACATACGGCAATGAAGTTGCGCGCCGACGCATTTTGGAATTTTTGGAGCTGTTTTTTTGCAGATGAATACTTGCGTGAAGAATATCTCACACTACAAAACACACACACACACACACACACACACACACACAAGCAGCACGCAGACACGTGTGGCCTGTCTCAGATGCGGTGCCTAGTAGAATGAAAAGATATGTGGCAGTGTTGATAAGAGCAAAGGATTCTTATCTAAGACCGAGATAAATGCTGAATCTTTTGTGCTGCCTTCAGAAATTGGTGATTTTTTCAGTCTGTTATACTAAGAAGGTGATGCAGCTGAAAAATGAGATTAAAGAAAGGATGATGAGTCATGTGAATAGGAGGATGCATGGTGAATCATATGGATATATTTGTATGGAACAAATGATGAGGTCTGTAACACTTGGATCATTCCCATATATGTAAAAATGCTACTTGCATTCAGCATTTTTGCTCATGTGCATCTGGACATTATTGGGAGCCAATCACTCTGGAACCATAAAATACATTTTTGGAAAAAAAGTCACTGGAGTGGTACCTTTTCAAAAGGTACACCCTTGTACCTTATTTACCACTAACAGGTATATTTAGGACCTAAATGCTACATATTGGCATATTGGTACCTTTTTACAGGGCTCTGTCCCAGTGACAGCTAATACCATTTGTGTGTGTATCATAACATATCTCCTCTTCTGGATTGTAAATATTTGGTATTATTGTGTGATGTCTCTAGTTGAAGGAATGTGTCCTGTGTCCTGTTATCTTCCAAGTGGATAGGATTTGGAGGAGGTCAGCTGAGCATGAAGTCCCAAGCTGATATAGCGTCTGTTCACATTTGTGTCTTCCATACTGATGAATGTGAAAATGATTTTTATCTCTCTCTCTTCAATGTGAACAGCTTCAATGTGAAACAAAGCTATTAAAAAAGTTCTCAAGGTTCATTTCATACCACATGACATTCCTACTGGATTGATACTTAGTGAAATAAAAGTAACCCTATAAAAGTAAAATAAAATAAATCCATAACTAGTGAAGAAACCATGAAGCTGTGGTGTTAAACTAGCATAAAGGTGAATGAACAATGACAAATCTTCATTTTTGAGAGAACTAATCCTTTAACTCAGTATTATTTTTTAATTAAAGAACATGCAGTTCTTGAAACTTCTGGAATCACACATTTAATCACGATTAATTAATTTAATATACCAATACTCCTAATTTATGTTAATGAAAAAAAAAAGTTTGAAATGAGCTTTGCCATAAATACAGGAGCATATTTCCCAGTCACGAAGGCTGAGAACCACTGATCTAATATTTATAGGATCGTTGTATACTGAATAACACCAACAAGATTTTTATATTTTAAAAATTGCATTTACATTCTACGGCCAGAAACATACGGCAATGAAGTTGCGCGCCGACGCATTTTGGAATTTTTGGAGCTGTTTTTTTGCAGATGAATACTTGCGTGAAGTATATTCTTGTCTCAAACAGTGAATCACATTACACGGCAAAACCGACTGTGCAAATCAAAAACACACATAAAACGATTTAATTATAAAAAGCAACACACCATGAAATGCCAAGCCCTTTGAAAACACACAAGGCAAACACTTGTTGTCACAGATATGTTGTCACAGCGTTTCACAATATATCATCCTCGGCGGTGATTCTTAGCATTCACGGGCCTGCATTCTATTGGCTCTGATCTCTGTCCATCATCTCAGGCGCTGATTCATGTGGTTAAAACACTAGCCCCGCCTCTCCAGAGCTATGCGCTGATTGGCCACCCGGCGCGTCCGCGTCGTGCATGCAGCCAATGCGCGCGAGACGGGTCTGGCGCTCTCGGAGGTTTCCTCAGTCCGGAGCGGTAGCGCGAGCTCAGTACAACGAAGAGAACCCAGCGAGTTCATATCGCGCGACACTAGCGAAGGGAGAGAAAGAGAAAGAAAGAGCGAGCCTGCACCTTAAAATCAGCGCTTATATCCGGAGAGGGTCGCCGCAGCCTGGAGGGGGAACGAGGGATTTGATCTGCACCGTTATTTTTTTCTTTTGTGTTTTCTTTATTTCTTTTCTGGGGGAAGGATTGTGAGCGTTTGCGTGCAAAGATGATGGTCGGGGAGATGGAGGTGAAGGAGAGACCGAGGCCGAGTCCCGACTATCTCATGCAGTTATTGAACGAGAAGAAGCTCATGACGAGTTTACCGAACCTGTGCGGCATCTTCACACACCTGGAGAGACTCTTGGACGAAGGTACGTGTGTGTAAACCCGAACCGCGAGTGTGTAAGTTATGTGGTGTTTCACTAACGTACTTCACAAACTATCTGTCTCCAGCATAAGAGACTCTAAACAACGGTTATGGTTTCAGTTTTAAAGTAGACTTCCGTTTTTGGGTCTGGTTCTAAACGTTTAACCCCTTTTGGACGGTATTTAACCAATTTTCAAAAGTCGTTTTTCCCCCGTTAGTTCGTGTCTGAGGGTCGCTAACGTTAGCGCTGTTAGCAGTCTGCTAAATCAACAACTTTTACCCGTCGTGATATTTAACGTTACTAACTTTCACTTCTTTAGCAGCAAATATAAGACCTTTCAAGAGTTTACTCTTTCCCTAAATGTTTATTTTGTGCTGTAAATCACATATTACTAGGCGTTTCAACGGTTCCTAACTTGTTTTTGGGTGTGAGTGACGTTAGCCACAGTTAGTAGCTGCACACAAGAAACTTTGCGTTTATTTTTCGATTGAAATCTCTTTATTATATGGTTATGTACTCGGGTATACAAAATATTCATATCTGTACTCAGCGCAAGGGATTTAATCAGAACAATTAGCTGTTTGTTTGCAGATTAAGATTTTTTCCCCCTGAGGCATTCAGTTGAGTGTTGCATGAATGTGCCCTATGGAGAGTGAGAGAGAGACGCACAAGTGCCTATACACGTCTGTGTCAATAGTACAACATAAACTAACGTTACTGTTTTTATTCCACATATATTTAACGTATAACGCTTAATTTTTACCATGCAACCTGTGAAGGAGAAAGAGTGTCCGTGGCTGTGATATGCAGCAGGTTTCTCTCAATGCAGCTTGTGTATCTGCACCGTCACTCATTTGTCTTCACACATGTTGTGCGTTTGTCTGAAATGCACGTAGTATATAGTCATGCTCTAATCTCCCTCTGTTCCGATAAGGAGAGGCTTGAATTCCCCCTCACACACAAATACACAGTATCCGTCTTTATTAATTTCATGAAGTGCACGAAAGCTCGTGCTATTGACATGCAAACACGCGGCTCTGTTTGTCTTGTAACAAAGAGGGACGAGCAGCCGCAAAATCTGCCGCAATGTTATCCAATATCAGCTTTGTTTGCGTTCGTATTCTCTCAGCGCGTTGCTAAATCACCCTGTGAGTCACCGGATAAACTAGTTTGGGTTGACTGATCACAACTACACATTCCGACACACAACCCCAGAAACCACACTTTAGATTGGGTTTTTTTGGGGTTTGGTTTTGACTTTTCCAGACGCACAACTGAACTTCTGCCAAGTTCACGACTGGACTTGTTTTTTTTTCTTTTTTATGTTCAATATGGAGTTCAATTTTTGTTTGTTAGTTTTGTTTTATTATAGGAGAAAGAGCTTTTTAAAGGGATAGTTCTTGCAAAAATGAAAATTCTGCCATTTATTCAACAGAGAATATTTTTTGAACAAATGAAAATAAAACACATTTTTCAAATTATGCTCTTTTGTGTTTCACAAAAGCAAGTTTAGAATAGCTTTGGAATGGCATGAGGGTAAGAAAATGTTAGAATTAAACATTTTGCAAGAACTATTTCTTTAATCTTAGTTTTAGTATGTAGACACTGATGAGCTACCAAACTATTGAAGTTCTTACATCTACAGTAGGGCTTTTTCTTGTCTTATATACGTAAGTGGCACAGATGTGTTTCCATAAGAAGTCTTCTTCTTGGTCCTTTAGTGTCTCCATGTGAGAATTCTCATGAAGCTGTGTGCTCTGACACCAAACAGTGAGGTGTTAGTTCCTCCTGCAGTGATACAGCCTCATGTTTGTGTATCTGGACTTATTCTGCTCTGTTCACCTGAACTTTGCTCTTCTCTTGCTGTAATCTGTTCTCCTCAATCCACTCAGAAATGAGCTAAAACCGCAGAGGACAACTTCATCCTTCCTTTTTTTTTCCCCCTCTGACACACATTTCTTTGAACACACACATGGATTGGACTAGGTGTAAAATCTCTGCTGCGCTCAGCTGAATTTGCATACTGATTTGGCAATGCAAATGAGCAGCTCAGGGTGATGTGGTGCCAGTCGCGTATTTGTAACGGTAAATACTCAGACTTAATGCGTAGGGAGGGAAATTTGTACAGCTACACACAGCATCTGCTATCTCTCCTGACCTCTGCTTTACATCAGATTGATATGGGTTTTTTAATGCCTGATACTGATGTCTAGACAGCAGGGTGATATAATGCCATTTTAAACATGTATATTTAATGAATAATATTTATTCAAATCCAAAAACATGTTTGAGGATGGAAAGTGTGCAATATTAATCTGCAAAGCTGGCGGAGAATGTTATTGATGTGAATAATCACAAAATGGACAAATTGGTTGATGTGTTGGTCTGTCACGAGTTTTAGAAAGGACGTGCGCTCCATCTTTTCTGTGTATTGCACTGATCTAAGATCAGAGAGAGAGAGAATCCAGATCATTTGAAAAATGCATTAGCAGAGATTGAGCTGAGAAGGTTAGACAGATGATAGTATTTTAGGTATTTCATTAAGCATGACTGTTATTATTGTGGAGTGTTCAATGCGTAAATAAAGCGCAGACTTTTCAATGCAGCTTCACACTTTTCTGCTGGATGAAAGAGAGATGGCGTGTGGATTTTTGGAGGTGAAATGTGGGAACGCTCTCTCAGTTGTCGTCTTGTAAGAGTTCTCATGACAGCTGTGCACAAACGCTCATAACTCGAATGGATCGTGTGTGTTTGCAGCTGTTGTCATGGCAAAGGAAAACCAACACCCTTACGTCTCCCTCGTCACCCTTTCTGTTCCCCTCACAAGACAACTGCTCTCCCTCCCTCTCCCCACACCGTTCGAGTGTGTGTGTCAGGCTGACGAGAGAAAGACAGGTTTGCAGCGTGCTTGTGATCTTCAGAGGTGACCCTGCGGGTGTTTTTAGAGCTGTCTTTGATAAGTCAGTGGCAGCTGAGTCCAGTGCCAGAGCTCAATGCAGGCTGTGTTCAGAAATGGACACAGCGATGGAAGGAACGAGTCAAGGTTAAAGATCTTGATTTCTCACAGTCATACAGGTTGTTAGGAAATTATTCTCTCTTGAAATGGTTTGTTTTCTGTGGCTCTGAAAAATATATGCTGAATTTTCAGCTGCCATTACTCCAGTCTTCAGTGTCACACTATCCTTCAGAAATCATTGATTTGATGCTTACAAAACATTTCCTAAAGTTTTAAACAGTTGTGCTGCTTAATCATAGACTGTAAAAAAAGATGGACGACGCGTCTCCACTTCCTTCCATTATAGAAAAGTGAAGCCAAAGCATCTCAGTATGGCCGCTGCCATCTTGAGTAAATGACGTAATTTGGAGCCCGAGTCTGCGCAGTAGAGATTCGTTTGGAGACAGAGTCTGCGCAGTAGTGTCGTGAGGTGGAGCCACGGTATCAAACTCCCGCAGACCCAATCAACCATAACGACACCGTTTTTATAGCATCAAATTACTAGCTAAAATCAAACTTATCACAAAAACTAACAATTGAACATATATCAGCGTGATAACAACTACCTTAAATGACCAAAACCATCTTTCGGAAAATTGTATTGGAAAGTGTAATTTTTTTATTTTTTTTTTATTTTGACTGGTCTCATTCGTTTACATGGAGAGGGCGGGGTTTATGACCTGTACTGCAGCCAGCCACCAGGGGGCGATCAAAGAGCCTGCAGCTTCACTTTTCAGGACGTGTGAGGCACACCCATGCTTAATAGTTTTTGTGCTTTTTTTCTGAATGAATATAAAGTTTAAAAGAACAAACAGAATCTTTTGTAACTTTATAGATGACGTTACTGTTACTTTTAGTAAATTGAATGGATCCTTGAATAAATGAGTATTCATTTTTCAACAACAAAAAGTATCTTACTGACCTGATTTTTTTTTTTTTTTATACAGCTGAATTTATTATACAGTCCTCTAGAATAAATATAAATCTTGATTCTGATTGGTCAGTGTATAAGCTGTACTAGTACCAATTCCCCACTTCATCGATGATCAAGAAGTGATTTCTTCATTAAATTCAGTACATTTAGATGCAGCATTTGTATTTGAGGTCATTCCAGGTGCTAACAGGAAGTGATTCTTACAGGCTGGGACCTGTGGGACCCCTTACAGCATCTACTTTAATTAGCTAGCTAGATCCATTAGCTCAGGTACTCGGCTCGAGCCAGGGTTCAGTAGAGTGAGTGTGCAGATAATTTTATTCTCTCTATCTTTGTTTCTCTCTCTTTTTCTGTGTCCTGCTGGGCGGTGATAAATTGGATAGCAGGAAGAGGTTGACAGGGTTAGCGCTGGGAACAGAGGAGTCTCGCTTATTTTCTCCCCCCCCCCGTGTGTGTGTGTGTGTGTGTGTGTGTGGACTGGCCCCTGACTTGGCCCTTGTGTGGCCCCTGATAAAGTCATGTCTGTGTGCGTCAGGCTGTGCCCCTTTATCAGGGGGGTCTCACGAGCTTAGGGGTTTCTTATCAGACTCTGCCCTGCCAGCACTGCTGTCCGCCTGACGCCGCACAGACACCAGCACGCACCCTTCAACAACGTTTCCATCCGCGTGCAGTGAAGAATTTATTTCGTTGGAACAGTTTTGGCTCTCCTTGAACCAGATCACAAGTTCTCTTTTGGCTACCATAGCTGAGAGCGTGATAGGCTGAAGCTGATGCAATGACTCAGGCACGGTCACTAACTTCCTAACTACACTCATGCTCATGTGCTTCCCGTAGGAGAACAGCAGGGCTTTCATGGGCCAGCTCGCACAGGAACAGACTGATTCAGTGTTTTTGGAAGGGGAGGAGTCCTTTTCATAAGAACCAAAAAGCAAAAAGTCAAGTCAAGTCACCTTTATTTATATAGCGCTTTTAACAATACAGATTGTGTCAAAGCAACTGAACAGCATTAATTAGGAAAATAGTGTGTCAATAATGCAAAATGACAATAGTAAACACAAATTTTTCAGTTAAAGA